CTGTGTCATCCTAAGTATTTGGTAGTGGACAGGTTGATCCTTGAAGWTTCGAAAAGCTCCCTCTCACATAGGAACTCCTTAATCTGTTRGGGTTCTGTCTTATGGTCTACCTCTTTCTAAAGAAATCCAAGGAAAACTTCTGATCTGTGAGACGGATTTGTCACACAAATCTTTCACTTCCTTTTCTCTGTGTACTGTTACATCCCATTGTAAAGAAAAAACTCCAGTAGCTACTTATCTACATCTCAACCATTTTGCCCTAAATATACAAACCCCTTAAAAATTGTTTGTTTTCAACAAGGTCCACAGACTTGACTGAAAACACATACTGTGTAAGCAGAATTTCTTTTCCTCTTTACCTTTTAAAAATCTTTACTCATACATTCTAGTTGACATGCAAGTAAAAATTTTGAAATAGATTTRTCCTTTAAGTACTAAAATGTTCAGTACTAAAATGTTTTAAGGGTGATTGCTCATAGTCATTGACAGCTGTTTTACCCTGCCGGTAAAATGGCATCTTGTAATAGTTTCTTATATAATGTAGTTATACATTGGTTCATATTCCATAAAATKATGAAATTCAAACTAATGCTGGGAAACACCTTCTTCTGATATTATAACTAAAACACTTCATAACAATACTAAGACATAGAGGATGGTTGAGTTCAAAAGTTGTGAAATGGAAGAAAGTAGAGAAGGTTTCTGGAAAAGTGCAACTGGAGATGAGATATGACTTGCCTTAAAGCACAGGAGCACGTTTGTGGAGACTCCTGATGCCTTTGCAGAATTCCCTGCTGAGGGTCTAACCCTGATGTTGCTGTAGCTGTGCTCCAACACAGAAGACATTTGTCTTCTATGTACGTATTTATAATGCACCAATAAATGATTAAATGTTTACCCAAGGATCTCAAGAGCTTCTGTCATGAAGAGAAAGTAAACTCTTAGATTTTCTTGTGGTAGGCTCTGTACCAGCTTTGCACATAGGCCGCTATTCCAGCTGACAGAATATAGACATGTGACAATTCTTACTCCTGCTGGAGCCAAAGCCATGCTGAGCAGGTGTTTCACAGCTCTTCCCCTCTGCAACTGAAAGAAAACTCTCAGTCCAGTCCAAAGGCAGGAGAGTACTTGTTTTCCCCTGTGTAAATTTCATGCATCAGGGTGTTTCAGTATTTATAGAACAGAAATAAAACAATGCTCAAGTTTAAAATATCCATCAAAAAGCAGAATTCACAATTTAGTCTCCCTGTTGGTATGAGATTCTCTGCAATTATAGGAACACTAAGCTGTGCTTAAAACCCAAGGGTTCATTTTGCTGACCAGTAAACAATTGATAACCTTGTTGGAGAGCAAGTTAATTAGTAACACAAATTAAACTGAATGAAAAATCATAGTGTAAAATAGTATTTAAAATAGCATCATGGTTCTAAATAGGGAGTTAGTACTGAYGAATCTCTCTTTTCAAATGGAAGTAGTTTTAGAGTGCCCTAGTACTCTGCTAAAGTAGTCAGATTCTGGATGAAAGGGAGAGAGGAATTTATCACTCACTGGCAAGAAGTCCTAGCTCATAAAGCTGCATAATTAATGYTAGATATTTTAAAGCCATGATCTTCAATTTCTATGTAATCTTTGGAAAAGGAAAAATGTACCTCAGCAATATTCCTGAGGAGGTAGGGAGGGCACCCACTGAGTTATGTAAGGTCAGAAATTGAGAGTCAGGGATCCTAAAGATCCCTGATATACCAAAAGGTTGCCCTTCACTGGAAATTTTGAGCTTATTTCACAGGCATAATCTAGTAATGAATTGAAAGTTAACAAAATGTAGCAACTGCTGGGAACCAATTAAGCAATTTAATTTTGCTTATYTTTAGTTTTAGAAAATATTTCCCAATCACATAGTTTACAGCTGAGAACAACATTCATGCCAGTTCTCCAAAGATGCATCATCAGAAGAGGAGTTCCAGATGTGGCTGTTGCTTTAATCACAATTAACTGACAGCTTATAAAAGCCATCATCTTAAGGAAACACCTACACTTTACAAAGCTTGGGATCCAGAAGAAAGCCCCAGGGAGTAGTTTCAAGCTTCTCACTCTACTAGAAATAAAATCAGCAGAGGAAGTGAAAGATAATTAGAGAACTGAGTCTTGAACCAGACAAACCATTTTCTCCTGCATGCAAAACGTACTGTGAAACTGCAAAAGCTGTTTAGACTAAAAATTCAGTATCATGTAAGATATAAAATAAAACTGGAATCTGTAGCTCAGGTTTTCACAGCCACTTAGACTKGATTTAGATCTTTAGATCTTACATTGCAACACACAAAATGAGTAGTGCCCACTCTTGTGCCTTGATTATTAGTTTCTCACTGTTTGGTGTCTCTTAGGAGCCAAGAAAAGAGATAAGAAGATAAACTTCCATCTAAAGTTACAGATATATATATGTGCACTTATATTTAAATATGTGACCCTCTTGGCTGTGAAGAAACACTTGAAAAGGGAAATCTATATCCATCATTTAGGTAGACTCAGAACATTTGGTGAAAGAACTGTCAGTACTGAAGCAGGTTTTGCACTGGGGTTTTTATGTGCTGTCCTTGCTCTCTTACTAAAGAAAGTTAATTTGCTCTGAGCTCTGTCCCGCAGTGTCCAGACCATCACTGGTAGCTACATTTCCACCTGTAAAAATACCTTGAATAATTTTATCTTCTGGTATGTTTCTTTCTATGACATTAGTGTCAGCATCAGTTTTTCCAGTAAAATCAATGAATGCTCAACTACTGTCATGTACAGGAAGGAATTTATTCTCTTTCTGACTTTTCTTCTCAGATAAAGACCTCATAACTACTGTTGCTCTCTGTTCTTTCATGATTCAGATTTTTCTTTTTTTTACCAGACCCCCTAAAACTTTGAATGATAGGAGCCAGGTCTCAGTTTTCAGTGAGCCTGATACAACAGCTTGAAGTATAGACAGTCTAGTTTCTTTTCAGTGAAGTTTCTTTTAATCTCTAGAAATACTCTGTGCCTTGTGTGGCCCCCATTGACTATAAACTCTGTGGAGTTAAATGCACTGCTCTCATGTAACCAATCAGGTTCATTATTGAAAACACAGTTATAACCAACAGCTACCCTGACAGTCAAGATCAACACTAGTCTGACCAGCAAAGCCTCAGAATATCTGCTTTCTCACAGGGTCCACTGGTGTCTAAATAAATGTGGTGCTGTGACTTGATGTTAAAGCATCTTAAATTCAGAAAGCCTGGTAATTCCTCCCAGAAAGTGACTAAAAGGCAAAAACTTCTAAGTAAGCAGGCACAAAAGAACTCTTCTCTAGATATTTTTTTTTAATGCAATGCAACTTGGAAGGCATTACGGAAAGATTAAAATGCATCTTTCAAAACTACTCTTCTACTTTCCATCTAAGAGAAGGAAAGTTGAAGTCATTATAACTGTTCCAGGTGAATGCTCGGCTCTAAGTTAGCATCAGCAGTCCTGACTCCTGGCCACCCACTAYTGGCTTGCAATGCAATGGTTCTAGCCAGGAGCCTTATCCCAAACTTTGGGCAAGAGGCAACTTGGAACAGGTTACAAGGATGACTGATTGTGTTATCAGCATGAGGAAGTTGAGTGCTTTCTCATCAAATGCCAGGAAAACTTGATTGAGAAGCTTACTCATCTGAAAATGAGTCAGGGAAGTTCCTGTGGTGTGTACTGAGAGCACATAGTGGGGATTCCTGTTGCAAAGAACACTCGTGGCATATATTTCAATATTACATTTATTGTCATTGTTGACTGTGGGATGGGAGTAAAAGGAACATTAAGGAGCTGCTTAATTAGAATTAATGAGTACATGAGCAATGTCATACAATCGTGTTATGTTCTCATTATTTCCTTGGTTAAAACTGTTTATTTCAATGGAAATTACCGAGGATAAGGTATGAGTCACATCCMACCCAGCAGAAATAAACTAAGGAGAAAATACCCATTCCTGCGCTGGCCTTTTGCCCACACAAAGSGGGAACAGCGCGCTGTTTCTGTGCAGCCGCTGCTCGCACACAGCAGCCCTCGCTGCCGGGGGCCGTTGGCTCCGCACCGACGCGCGGTGACCGCGTACTGCCCAAACTCTGAAGTTTTCGGGCTGCGCTGCGCTACGAGCGTACGGTCTGACTGGCGATGTTGTGCTCTTGCCCGCCACTGGCCCTGGGTTGGGGCCGCACCTGTCCGGGGAGGGGCAGAACAGGGCAGCGGCCGCTGCCGCTCCTCGGGGTTCCGTCCGTGGGTCGGAGGGAGCACAGCCACCTCCCTGCTGGGGAAACGCAGCCACTGGAGGAACGAGGGACAGCCCCTCCTCTGACAGGGGCGGAGGCGAGGGGCCGCCAGGACACCCCCGGTTCCATAACCAGCGCCCCCGAGGGCGGCTGCCTGTCCCCCGTGCGCCCCGCCGGAGAATGCAGAGCGCCCCGGCCGCCCCCGCCGGCACCGAGCGGACAGTGGCTCCGC